CCACTGCGCCGGCGGTTCCTACGAAGTCGACAAGGCACGAGGCGGAGGCAAAAACGACCGGCGAACCGTGGCCGCAACCCAGCCGAAAGTGCGGCTCGACTGGCCAAAATCTCGAAGGCAGCCGCGGCGGCTCGAGCCGACGATTCGCAGCCACGGCCGGCGGAGTCCTCCAGTAGCCGAGTAGTTCCTCGACCTCCGCCGCCGCCACCGCCGGCCGTGGAGGAAGATGTGGCCACGCCGACGGCCACCGCCTCCAACATGTTCGATGATATGCCGCAAAGGTAAAAAAAATATTTTGTGCTCTCGTTTGTTGTTTCAAATTGAATGTGACGTTGAATGTTTGTACGTCCAATTGTAGCCTTGATGATGAAGCTTTCATGCACGCGAATAATGTGGCAAATGATGATTATGTGTCGCATGAGTATGTGTCACAAGAATATGAAACCCAATATGGTGATGACAATCTTGACATGGACGATGAGGGCTTTGTTGCGAAGGGAAGAAGTGGAAATAATACCAATGCGGAGGATGTGTTGATATGCACCGCATGGAAGAATGTCTCTCAAGATGCATTCGTTGGAAGCGACCAAATGGTAAACACCTATTGGCAACGCATCAAGGATTACTTCAATGAGCGCAACACAAGTGGTCACTTCCGTTCAAGCGACTCTCTTCGCCAACGTTGGTCCACCATCAACGCTGAATGCTAAAAGTGAGCCGGTTGCTTGTCAAATGTTGCTCGCATGAACCCAAGTGGTTGCGGTGATAGTGACTTGGTAAATATTTCCTCTTCGTGCGTGCTTTCTCAAATATTGGATTGTTCCACATTTTGATGATGATGTGTTAGTTGTTTTATTGTAGAAAATGATTGCGCAAGGATTGTTTCGAGAGAGGAACATGAAAGGCGAATGCTCATGACGCAAATGATGATGGGAGGAGGCATGGGAGGTGCCACGGGTGGCTACATGAACATGATGGGAGGTGCCATGGGTGGCTACATGAACATGATGGAAGGTGCCATGAATGGTGCATTTGGCAGAAACATGGGAGGTAGCTTCTGTGGCAACATGGAAGGTGGCTTTGGTGGCAAAATGGGAGGTGGCTTCGGAGGCAACAAGACCGGCATGGGAGGTGCCTTTGGCGGCAACATGATGGGTGGCTTCGGAGGTGGCTATGGCGGCAACATGTGTGGCGTTGGAGGTAGCTTCGTCGGCAACATGACCGCCATGGGAGGCAATGAAGGTGCTTCCGGTGGTGCTCAACGAGACTTCACCGCTTCACAAACTCGACAAAGAAGTCGGTGATGATGATGATCGTACCACGGTTCACAATGCCGGTGGTGTTGATGACCCGCATGAATGATATTCATGTGCATTTTAATTTGTAGGGCGAAAAACTTTGATTGGGACGATGCACTTTCGGTAGAGGGATTTGAAACTATGATGATATGATGCACTTCTGTTAGGGATTTGAAACTATGATGATGATGCACTCTAATTTGAAATTTTAAGTGATATTTCAATGCAAAACCGTGGCTGAACAGCAGCCGCGCTGTCGGCGGCCGGTTTTACATCTTCGTTTTGGACCGTCTGTTGGAGTTGTTCTTTTACATCTCCGTTTTGAACCATTTGTTAGAGTTGAGTCTTTTTCGGAGATGTAAAAAGTACTTTTTGGTGTTTCAAATTTTTACATCACCGATTTGAGGCATCAAAAATATAATCATCCATTGGAGATGCTCCGAGGATGTAAAGTCCTCTCTCGGCAAATCCATTTATCTTTGACTGAATGGCACGGGCCGGGATATGTCTTCACTTGTAAGCATGAACGTAATCATGGAAATAGAAGTTCTTCTCGATGAAGCTCGCGAGCCAACGGGACGCGGCGAAGCACAGCACGGCCAAGGACACAACAACAGCTCTCTGCACGACTGATGTTACCAGCGTCCCCTTGGCGACGGCGAGGAAGCCGACGACCGCAACCGACGCGAACTGCAGGGCGACCTCCAGCGCCTTCATGGCCTTCAACGCCGCGCTGCAGCTCCTGCACTGCGCGACGTGCGACCAGTACCTGTGGATGCCATCACAACATCAAAACTGTTATATATGATCGGAATTCTCGGGTATTCCAAGCTGCAGGTTGCCGTGGCACCTTTCCATGAGCTTGTCTTTGGTTGGAGTCGCCGGCAGCTGATCGGCTGTGGGGACGGCCCAGCCGACCTGGCTCTTGCAGTGCTTTCTGAACCAGTTTCTGAAAGCGATCACCATGTTGTCTGACGACGTGGGCACGTACACGGCTTTGTGCCAGTTCTCGGCGCCGGCCGCCGCGAAGTTGCGCTCCTGAAACGACGGAAGAACAATGGGGTCATGTTTAGAATTCAGAAATTCGGAGCAATGGGTCTGTTGCTTGAGCTCCATTAATTACCTCGACGTGGAGGAGGTACGTGTCCGAGTCCAAGAGGGCGTTCGGGCCCATGTGGTAGTACCACCGCGGTATGACCTTGTCGAGCCACAGGCCGACGTTCCTCGGGAAGGCCCAGATCACCCTGCTCTTCCCCGGCGCCACTGGGACGCACATGAACACCATCATGAACTGGGGCTTCTTCTTCACCTGCATGCCCAAACCAATCCATGCCATAAACTGATTTGTTCTTCTCTCAAGTGCTCATCGATCCATGCATACCTCTTCCGTGGCCTCACTGGGAAGCGGCGAGTCGTCGACGGCGAACCGTGCGACCTCTCTGGGAAGCGGCGAGCCGTAGAAGGTGCACGGCGCGGCGTACCGGAAGTAGCCGCGGTTCTCCTGCTGCTCCGTCAGGAACCCGTCCACGTTCGCCACCTTCGTCTTCATCTTTATCGGCCCGCCGCCTTCGATGTCGAACTCAACTGTGAAGAGAACAAGAACAACAATTGAATCAGCACTTGTATTCCGTGTTTCAGTGACACTCTGCAAACTGAATTCGACGGCGCCTGTCATGTCAGGCAGGCAGGCAGGCATATATAGAGGCTTATCTGCCGAGGTTTTCCTTCTTGAGAAGCTTGCCCATCAGCCCCTTGTGCGCGTAGGGGACATGGGCAGGGTCCATGAGGTTCTCTACCAGCACATCGTACCTGCAAGAGTATCAATTGAGCTGTGAGACTGTGCAATGGAGGGAGGCAGCCGCATATATGGAGGTTGAGGATGTGTAATTGTGTACCCGTAGGGGAGGTCCCTGACGCCGTAGACGGTGACGAAGGAGGGGTCGTCGATCTCCGGGATGAATGGCGGGCGCTTCCTCTGCAGAACGTCCTGGTGCTCCTCGTCGGCCCACTACCAGAAAAACTGGGGTTGCCGACGGCCAAATCTATGCCGACGGCACCCGTCGGCATCCATGGACCTATGCCGACGGCCAAGGAAAGGCCGTAGGCGTAGAAAAGCCGTCGGCATACATTCATCTATGCCGACGGGGTCGTCGGCATAGACCAAGCCGTCGGGACCGCCCGAGGTACGCCTACGGGGCCCGTCGGCATAGGACAGGCCGTCGGCATAGCCAGGGCCCACATGCCCGGTCGGCGCTGACCATTTGACGGCGTTGACCCTACGTCGACGGGCGGTAACGGCGGCCGTCGGCATATCTGTGGCAGAGATATGCCTAAGGCAGAGCCGTCGGCATAGGCCCCTCTGCCACGTCAGCGATCCGTGTGCCACGCCACGTCAGCGATCCGTGGGACAACCTCCGTGTGTGCACAGATATGCCGACGGCCTTGCCTTCGGCATACGTTTATTTTAATTAATTTTTTTATTTGTTACTTTGGTTATCTGTGGCAGAGGTATGCCTACGGCACAGCCGTCGGCATAGGCCCCTTCGCCACGTCATTGATCTGTGTGCCACGCCACGTCATCGATCCGTGGGACAACCTCCGTGTGTGCACAGATATGCCGACGGCCTTGCCGTCGGCATACGTGTATTTTACTTTATTTATTTATTTTTACTCTGTTTTGTTATTTTTACTTTATTTTAGTTTTTGTTTTTGTATAAGATAATTATGCCTTATCTAAAAAAACATACCCGATGGTATATCGATTGCCCCCCGTTACGAACGTCGCTATCGGCGTGTCACGGAGGGGGGAAACGGTCGACACGGAAGGAATTCTGGTTGGTGGGGGGAATTCGGGGTGTAGCTATGTCATCGAAACATCGCACAGGTCCCGATGCATATGTGAAAGTGTTCATGCATGCGTAGACGCCCGTCTTGGGGCTCCGGGGTGTGCCCCCTCACGGACGGCGCTGCCGCCGGTACTTGGAGGGGGAAAACGGACGCGTGGGGTCTACACGGAGGGGATCTTGCTGTGGGTCTGGCCCGGATGTTGCTCTAGAGTGTTCCTATGGGCTGACCTAACACAACCGGGTGGGGAGGTCCCATGGTCAAAGCCCGTCCGTGCAAAGTCAAATGGCTAGATCGCGTGGTCAAACGCTACAGGGTTAGGCAGGACGGGGGCACTGGGGGTAGCAATGCCACCGGAGCGTCGCACCGGGCCCTCATACATGCGGGGTGGTGTGGTGGCATGTCCGAAGAGGCGG